TGTCCTTCCAGACAATAAATTATGTTTCTAAGTTGAAGACAGCTCCTCATAGTTATGTCTGCCTCTAAGAAATAAAGACTATTTGTAACCATCACAATGTCCATAGCAGAATCTGAGCAATTTGTGAGTAGACACAAGCATAGATCTTCAAAATTATTATCAATGATATTAATGATTATAATTAAGCTTGTGTGCTATGTCATTGTAATTTTTTTTTTGTACCCAGGATTAGTCATATTTTGATGTACAGTTCAGATTAAGCTTTTCTTCATTAGTTATATGAAACTGTCAAGTGGCTAGTCTCCCCGAATAATAGAAGTTTGCATGCAGTAAAAGGATATACTATGTGACCATGAGCATCTGAAGTTAAAGATTTAGCTCAGAAACAAAAATGTAGAAATAAGCAGCCAATGTGGAAGTATTATCTTCTGGCTAGTTTATAGTCCTTTGTTTTTTCACCACAAGGCAAATATTTCAATACGTTTTAAATGTACATCCAATCTAGTAGATAAGGAATATGAAGTTAGTTGCTTTCTCTTTGAGTACAATCATTATGTTTGCACATGAACTGTAAGTTTAAAATTAAATATTAATTTTAAACTTACAGTTTCAGAAAAGGTTATTTCACTTATGATTTTTGTTGTTGTTGTTGTTTTATTTTCGTTTTCTTTTAATTTCTTTGCAAACCATTCTACAGTTATGTTTCGGAAATCAAAGATGGACTGTAAAGTGGATTTGATCAAACTGCTTTTACTTCTGAGAAACTGACCTAACAAAATCCTGTGGTTTCTTTTTGTTGTTGTTGTTGTTTTGCTTTTGTTTGTTTGTTTTGGAGTTTTTGTTAACTTTATCTGGAATAAGATTCTTTACTCTTAAGGGGAAAAGGAAATAGAGAGGGAAAGAGAAGAAGAAGAAGTGAAGAGGGAGAAGAAGCTGCAGAAGAAAGAGAGAGAAGCAGTGGGGGAAAGAAGAGGGAAAGAGGAGAGAGGGTGGGGGAAAGAGAGGGAAAGATACTGCATCCATGCATTAGTAGACAATGATGTCCTGGAATTAAGATTCTTGCCAAGAAACTTGACAATCTTCTATGTAAGAACAGAAATAGGAATCTGAGCACTGTTCCTTCTGACAATCATGGGATAAGTACCTAGTGGGAAGAGGGCCTTCTCTATTATTTAGCAACAGGGAAAAGAATTCTGGTTGTTTGCTTGCAATGCAGTACAGGAAGTGCTTTGAAATCATTAACATTTCTGTAGGATCAGAAAATAGTTGCCTTTGTAAAGCTCTTAAAAAAATAAAGGGTACTTAGCTTGCTAAGGAAGGCTATAGTTGTGCGATTTTGTGTTTGTTTTTTTTTTTGTTTGTTTTTGGTTTGTTTTTTTTTTTTTTGTAGGTTTTCTTTTTTTTTCCCAGTTCTTTATATTTTGTAAAAAGTCAGAGACAAAGGATGAAATTTTTGTTGTTGTTGTTGAACTTTCTAAATAACTGTACCTCAACATCTCTAACCTGAAAAATGTGCTCATTTTGAATAGTCTGTTATGTGAGTAGTCTGTTATATGATAGGTTGCTCTAGTTAGGAATATGATACCTCATAGTCTGAAGGATTCGAAATTATTTATAGGAAACAATAGGTCTACTTCAGAGTTTCTAAACTAAACAAGGATTGCAGAAGCTCTGTGCTGCCTATGAATGTTGGTTTCTGCAGACAGCATAAAACTGAAATGCAGAGGGGCAGCTGAAATCTTCTCACATTTGTTTTGGTTCACATGGCTTAATTGCCAGAAAAACATTCATGTATTTGTAGGTTAATAAATAAAATAACATGCAAATAAAGTGTAGATTGATTGAGAGTACATTTCAAATTGCCCTAAAATTTGATACTCTTAAGTATAGCAAGATAGTGAGGTGATTTTCCTTCCCTGTATCATTCTATTTCAATGTTTCCCTATAGCTAAAACTTTGAAATGCAGTATGCTCAGGGATGCTTTTGGTTTTCTACGTGGGTGAAGGAGCTAGCCCTGGGATATATAACTGCTTGAACCATCAGATGTGCCTACAGTTACTCATTCTTCCTGGCCAAAAATACTGGCAAATATCACCTTAAAATACAACACAGGAAACCTATAGTGTGTTATTATTATTATAGTGTTTTAATCTTGATTAGAGAGCTTATGTATTATGTCTGCTAGATGGTAGAATAAAGTTCAGTTTCAGCAAAAGTGGAAGACTGGGTTATGTGCTGGAGATCAAAGCTGCTGAGAGATCTTGACAAGTTGAAGACAGGGACTGATGACCATGTAGTTGGACAAAGGCAAATGCAAAGTCTTGCCCTAGTTCTGGAATAAGCAGTAGTTTAGGGCATGGTCTAACTGAATAGAAAAAAGCTTTGCAGATCCATCAGTCCCAGCATATCTATCAGTCCAGGCATAAAATAAGTTGAACCTCAGTCAGCAAGGGCCAACTGCACATTTTTTCTCAAATGTTTAGCTAGCAGGTACAGGAAAGTGTTCCTACACAACTATTTAGAACCTATGAGAGCACACTGGGAATGCTCTGTCAAAGTTTTGGTTCCTCAGTGTAGAAAAAGACATAAGCTGGATTGAGTCCAGCGCTTAGAGGATTAAATACTTGAAATGGTGAATTCTCCATCCACAGAGGTGTTTAGAACTTCAGTGGATGAAGTATTGACCTACTGACTGATCTATTGAATTTATTTTCAGCAAGAGTTTAAACCTCTTGATCTCCAGAATGTCTTTTCAGCCTACATATTCCTGTGAATCTAATATATCAGTTATATATCTAATTAATTGTTTTCAACAATATTTCTTCTGTGAAATTCTTTGTGGAAGACTTGAATATTACAAGTTACAGGAAAATTGTGTTGTGCATAAGTTATGTAATAACTTCATCATCATTTCAATTGTGATTTATTTATATATTGCTAATAATGATTTTATGCCAATTCATTTAATAGTAGGAAGCTTCTTAGAGATCTTCAGTACAGTACCATAAAAGTAATGTCTTTCTTTGCTTTGATTAGAAAAAAAAAACAAAAAAAACTGTTTTCTAGCCTCGTTGAATTTGTTGAACTAGTTATATCTTTAATACAATGAGAAACTTGTTTTCTTGAAGAGTCTCAAAACAGATTTAGAACAACAGTGACTCAGAAAACACTATCTGATAAATGGTAATTGAGTTTAGAGTGACAGAACTGCAAAACTAAATTTAAATTCAAAGTGGATGATTTTTTTAAATGGCAATGTGCTGATAAATTCTGAGTCTTGATGGAAAAGTTAAGATTGGGAATGACTAATTTTGTAGTTTAAGAAAAAACACAATTTGGATCCTTTTCCCTTCCACCTACTTTAGCTCATAAGGAAAAAAAAAGAAAAAAAAAAAAAAGATAGAAGGAGAGATAGGGACATCAGTGTAAAGAGAAGTAACAACCCAGAGATGCTGTAAAAATCTTTAATAACTGTGGGCTGTCTCTGAAGTCCTGAACACAGAATAATTTCCTGTAGAAAGTAGAAAAATGAACTGAAAGAGTGTTTGTGCACCAAATCTAGGTCTTTTCCCTGAAGAGGTATTTTGATTCATCCCTTGCACTGATGGATCAACACATAAGGTTTTGCCCCATATCTGAAGATGTTTAAGGCCTTGAGTGACCTGATCTAGTGCTTGATTTACTGTTTGTCAGTGATGGCAAAGGGAACTAGATGATTTTTAAGATCCCTTCTAACCCAAGCCATGCTATAATTCTGTGATAACAATTGGGGAGATTTATGCATTGGCCAAATAAGAAAAATATCTATGAAACAGCAAAATATGGATTAATTCTCTACTTGTTGCATGCAATGTTAGTGTTAGTACTGTAGGTATTAAAGGGCATTGATAATTTAATCAAAGAGTAAAATGAGTGTAATAAAAAGAAAGCAGCTCAACCTCTCCCTCAGTTCAACTGACAGGAGATGAGTGTGTTTAGTAGATTAAACCTACACACATGTGAATGTGTGTCAGTAAGAAAGGAAGTAGTGATTTGACAAGTTTGAGGGAACAAATATTACACAGTTATATCAAAATGTCAAAAGTACTTTAAATCTCTGACAGCCCATAATCTATGTTAAAGACTGAAATGTGAATTAATGTTGAAAAGCTAAATATCAAGATGTTCCAGGGAGCTAAAAGTTGGAGATTTCCCATGAACACTTACTAATCATTTAAAGAAAAAAAGTGAATGTTCTTTTCATGTATCATGCACTTGTCTGTCAGACATCAGTAGAACAGACTTACTAACAGTAGTTGTTAGTAATATGAAAGTAGCAATAATCAGATAGTCACTTCTATTAATTAAGTATGCATAAGGTGATGAATCTGGGTAATAGCTGCACTTTTCAGCAGCACGTTTTGAACAGGCTTCAGAAAGTTCCTATTAGCACCTTCAGAATGTTTTTGACCATGACAGAACTCTTATTCTGCAGTTTACATTATTCTACCATAATTATTTCAGAGTAAATTAAAAGGGAAGAGGGAAGTAATTTTAGTAGGAGTCTTAACATTACGTCGCTGCATCTGTCCCTTGAATTTTAAAAATGAACCCCTTTTATTTTAATCCACCTTCAAATCTTAGATTATCTATGTTATTTCTCTGATAGTGACTATTTGGCAGGAATGTATTTAAATATTATAATAAGCAATAAAATACTTCATTAAACACGTTTACGAAAACACAAAACTGTAAGATGTTGCTGTAGGGTTTTTGTGAAAGTCTGAAGAGATTTTTTTTTTAACAAATGTCTCCAGTACCTCAGTATATAAATCTAATCTAATAATCTAATTGTGGTGCTGTATTTACTCTATAAGTGAAAGCATTTACGGCTGCGTAAAGCATGAACATTACTTAAGGCATGAACAAAGAAAAAACATTTCTGAGCCAATGTATCAAGTTTTTTTTTCTACACAATAATTATCAGAAAACTATATATGTGAATTTCTTTCTTTTCTAGCGCCACTAACAGATAAACCACCAAAGCTTTTACACCCATTGGAAAGTAAGCTAACAATTCAGGAGACCCATTTAGGTAAGTAGTAAACACATAATTTCTCTTCAAATTGTATGAAGATATTTGATGTGTTAATGTACAGTGGTAATGTGATAATATGATGTCATTAATACTTTCATTAAAAATACATTAAACATACTGTGTTGACATGGTGGAGGTGTATCATATAACATCTAGAAGAGTTTTGTTCACAAAAAAAAAAAAAAAAAAAAAAAAAATTAGAAAATAATCTCAGTACTAAAGTCTTGAATACTACTGCATTTTTTACTGTTTTTTTTTTCCATTTCCCATTGTTATGCGTGTGCCTGAGATTTTCTTTCTAAAGTTTCCCTTTTCTGTATATTTAAATATACCCATATATATTAAAACCTCAGTGGGATTTTGTCATTTAAATTCTGTTTACATGACTTACTTGGTACTCTGTATTTATACTTTCTGTGTGTATAAATGTAGTACTGGTTTAAAACTATTCAGCAGTGAGACCTTAAAGTAATTCAGTCTGATTATTTAAAATTTACAGATATTTATGTGTGAATAGAGAGAAATTTATGTACAAAATCATTTTTTCACTTTTTTCCAAACTAGTGGATGGTGGATATATTTTCTCACTTAGATCACTTACTGCCGTACATGTAATTAAGTATCCAAAATTAAGTAAATGAATTACTATGGCTTACAGGACATAGAAGTTTTTCTCCTTTGTGGACTCACAGGTGGCAACTTCTAAGAAACAAGCAGTCATCAGGAAGTTAAACTGGACTTATAATTTGGACTTATAATTTGACAGATCTTTGAACATTTTAACTAAAGATACAAAGGCAAACAATATGCTGGTTGTTTTAATCACATAAAAATAATTTAAAATTAAAATTAGATAAAATGAAAGAAAGATAACCAAACTCTGGACATTCTTCAGAACAACATCAGCAAAAAGAAATAGCAGAATACTTGCAAATGAGTTTGGAGAGTCAGCAACAGAGAATCTTATGGTGCTTGACAGCCTGTAGCTAATAGTAGCTAACTCATCTTCATTTTGGTATTGATAAAAATTACATTATAATTCAAGCTATTCAAATAATTTTATGAGGTTCTATACACATATATTCTGAAAGTATTATATAGGAAAGGGGTTATATTCCCTAATACAACTAATTTTTTTGAAGTCCGAACACATAATTTCTGTGTTTGATGACTCATGATGATTTTATCTTTTCATTCACCTACAATCATAGGAAATGTAAAGCAAAGTGACTGCCCAATTTTTCTTTCTGACTGATGTTGGTTACTGGGATATTTTTAATGGAAAAGAATTGACATCCTTTTTAGGCTTTGTCAGTGTTTCACCTAATGTGTTGTACTTATCGAGGTTAATTCAAGAGTGTAACTATTAATGGCTAGCTAGAAGCTTTTAACCTATGATTTTAAGTATTAATAATACCTTTAATTTCTCATAGTTCTAAGAAACAGAATGAATTATTTGAGATGTGCTAGGTTATGGATAAGACACTTTTCAGACAACTGAGTAGCTGTTGATGAATGTGAAAGAGTTAACTTGAAAATGTCACTCACACAAGATGGAAAAATTGACTGTAAAAAAATATGAAACAAAAGTACTTTACCTTATATAGATAGAATATTAATTTGTTGTTTAAGAGTTTCTGAAAAGTTGTATCAGAGCTCAAGCAAGTGAGAAAAAAAGAAAAAAGAAAAAAAATAGTTCTCTGGCTCAAATATTGTTCCACTCATAGATTTAATGCTTTGATCCCTTCGGGTAATGTTTGAAAGGGTTACATTTCACTTTCTTTGTGGAGAGCTACCGTTTCAGTTCATATTTTGCAAAAAAATAAAAAGAAAAATATTTTAACATTGAAATAATATTCAGGTTTACTTAGCCAAACCTTAGAAAATTACCTCAGGCAACAGCCTCCCACCGATCTGAGGCCTGGGCTAATCATAACTTGCAGACTGATCTAGGCAGTGACAGAAAACATGATAGTCCTCCACAGTGTGTTTAGGACGGTGTGTTCGACTTGTATTTGAAAATTAAACATATTGATGGAAATATTGGCATAGAAAAAGAAGAGCAAGGAGGCAAGAGCCTCAGGTAGTCTGCGACTTCATGCTGCAGGGCACCAGCTGGTGCACCATAAAGCTTGTACAGTTACCTCTGCTCATGTTTCTGTCCTTATCTCACAGTCTTCCACACTGAGCAGGAATGAAGGCAAGGCACACGTCTGCGCATGTCCTTGGGCTATACGTTATGTACAGAGACGCCTGTGCTTCTATGGGCACCCAAGTTCTTCTGAAACATTAACAGTGATAGTTCACCTCGAAATTTTCCAGTACTAGCAGGCTTTTTGAGAACAGTTCTGAACATACTTTGGAGAAAATTCCTCGTAGCCTCAGTGTTATTGCTGAGATATATTGCTCTCTTATATATATACCAGCAATTAAAATTAACATCATGTGACTACAGAGCTGTTGTATTCCACAAGGTGATTACACATTGAAGGAGGAGTTTCTCTGAGTGACTGATGAAGTGTTACAGTATTTGGCTTGAAGCAAAAAAAAGGTGGAGAATCTGCAGCTCTCAAATCTGGAACTTACAGGCTCCTATGGTTTAAATGTAATCTAATCAGTCAGTCATGGAAAAGGTGTCCCACTCTTGGGACACCCAATGGGAAGATATTTGGAGGATTATAAAACATGACTACAGTGCAATGAGCAACCTAAGAGAGGTGCAGGAATCTTGAAACCTCTTTTGAAATGTCTTAATCACACTGAATAGTAATCAGGAAATCCCTGAGTAAAAGCACAGCATAGAAATTGAAGGAGAAATTTGTTTCTCAAAGGCTTTTCTTGAAAGACAGTACAAGACAGCCAAAGCATGAGGCAGATAAATCCTTGATGAGGAAAGAAAGATACATTCCAAACTTGTCCTGCTCTGCATTTAATGCTTTTTATTTGTATATTCACTTCCAATTTTGTGATCAATCATTTACTTCTGTTCCTAGGGTAAAAATACTGTTTTCTTTTTGAGCTTTTCTCCTGACAAGAGATTCCTAAGTAGCTATGGTGACTTCAGTATAGACTTCTAGTCTGGAAACAAGGACTTCAGATAAAATACTGTGTTGAACATAGTCTTGAAAAGGGTGCAGCTTTGCAAGAATCTTGGAGCTATAAGATGAGTTGTGTTTGCCATTCAGCTCCAGGCTATTGTGTGGGCTGGAAGCATAAGCATCAGCTGGGGAATAGGGAGACAAGGCACAAGTAATGAAGAACCATGTGCAGCCCCAATGAACTGCATTCCATGATTTCTTTTTTCTTACCTCAACGCACTACCAAAATCAGCAAGCAAAAAGCACAATAACAGTAGAAAAGAATTCTAAGAATAACAAAAACTATAAACTTTTAGTTCAGACCTGAGTAGAAATTACATTGTTCAGATTGATATTATTTCTGATATATGAAACTCCTAAAATAGAAGTAATTCTATTTTTTTAAATTTTAGATTCATGCAGATGTTATACATTTGGCAGAAATGCATATAAGATGCATGTTCATTTAACAATTATGTTCTGTTTTTCTGTATTGGTACATTTTGAGGCTTTTCAGTTTCACCAGTCTTTCAGGCAATGTTGTTATTCCCACCAGCAATGTAAAACATATTTTCTCCCTCAAAGAAACTAACAGCATATTATTAGTCTGCCTGTTGAAAATCTCATTCTATTAACCATTTGATCTATTTATGGACCAAAAGAAGACAGGTGTGTCTCCATAACAGACTGTAATGGATCAGAATTAAAAAAAAAAAAAAGCAAACAACAACAAAAACACAGCAACACATGCACATGAAACAAAACACAATAAATCAATAATGATATTAAACAGCTCAGAAATTATGTCATCCCCATTTTTTTCAGTATATTTTCTGATTCTGCACAAGCCTATAATTTGAAATGCCAGAATTCAGCTAGAAAAATAAAGCAATAGTTGAATTATTTTCATCTAGACAAAGGAGAAAATGAATAAAGACTCCCAGAACCATATGAATGGGCCTAAAACATAGGCAGGCACCTAAGCACTTTGTGATTTGAATGAAGTGAGTTTTCATGAATTTCATCCAATGCCAAAATTTATTCTTGTGACTAAATCTGCACTGAATGTGGTTTTGTTGTTGTTGTTACTGTACTTGTTGTTTTGTCTTTTATTTATTTTTAGAGCATTATTTCCATAAAATGAAATTGACCACTCTCTAGTGAATAGGGACTTGCTTCTTTCTCTTTGTCCTAAACATATTCTTGAAAAAAGTGATTAAACTGGCTATTAATGTGTTCTTTCTAAAATGAGAATATAAAAAAGTTCCAGAAGGAGATGAGAATACTTCAGGAAGAGTGGGATACTACTTCATTTATAGCAACATTTTCATAAAAATCTTCCACACAAATTGACATTATTAATGATAAAAGCACTCCTTAGCTAGCGTAATCAGTAGCTGTATAAATAAATTACCTAAAGTGATGTGAAATAACTAGCAATATATGTCTCCTTTCTAGATGATAATTAAAATGTAAGAATGCCTAAAATCATTTTTAACTGTACACAATTAATCTAACTGCCATACTGACTCCATAAAAGGAACAACATCTTCATGATGTTAGGAATTGTTACATTGATCTACTTAATTGTTCCAGTGTTCTTTACACTAAAATGATCTATTTTTGAGGAAGAAACCCTCAACACTTTCCCAGTGCTTCCATGTGGCTGCACATTCTGCTAACTCAAACATGGCTGTGGAAAGGAGACTCTGGGACAGACACTGGCCCAGCAAAAGTCAAAGAAAATGGTGCCACCTCCCAGCCACCTCACTAGTTCCGTGCACAGAAAGGAGCTGTAGTGTGATTTCTATCTCAGCCCAGCTGCTGAGACTTAGTGCTGTGAACTGGATCTTCAGACCGTTGTGCTCAGGATCCTTCACAATGACATGAGCATCTTTACTTCAAGAGAGGCTGATATCT